ACAACTAACCTGCTTTTAAGGAATAAAGAAACACAAAAAAATATAGTCTTTTCAGGTTTATCTCTGTGAATTTTGTGGAGCTGTACATGAGATAAATTGAAATATACTAGAGATTGCCTGTTCCCTTTGTAAATCGAAAGATTGGTAATGACTGAAAGCCACAACACCTTGGAAGTCTGCGGCTTGTATGAAATAAATGGGTCTTCTTACTTACAGATCTGGCAAACTTCAATTTGTCTGAAGAATAACTAAAACAAAGATGGTGACACAGAGGCTCCTTCATGCTCTGCTGCTAATGAGCCTCATCCTACCCTCTGGTTGAAAAATGGTATTTCCTACAGGAAATTCCAAGAACTTAACATGTGGATTCACTCCAAATTGAAACAAGTCCAAATCTCAGTTTTTTCACAAAAAGAAGCTTTCCAAAGTATTTAATTTTGGTTGGACTGAAACTCTGAAGTAATATAAAATTCACATTAAAATCTCCAGAGACACTGGCACTGGGAACTGTAGGGGACTAGAGAGGGCACATTTCCTGAGTGCCTTTGAAAACAATACTCAGTTTGATCCCTGGTCTCATCTGAAAGTAGACCTATTCTCCACAGTTAAGCTGGGACTGCAGAGAAGACATAGAGTGGAGCAATGTGTACAATCAAATGCACACAATCTCAGGAATCAGTTTTGCAGCCCATAGACTTGTCCTTCCACAGAGACTGAACTCTCGAGGAGTAGACAGTCTTACCAAATTTGCACCACAAGAGCTTAACCTGAAGTAACCTCAACAGGCCTTCACTACCTGCCATGTAATGTTTTCTATCAACCCCCCTGTTCCTTCCCTGTGTATTGTGCCCAACACCACGTCACGTCTTCACATCAATTCCTGTTCTGCTGTGGAGCACCAAGTAGTGGCTAGAAAATCAGTGTGCTGACTAAGGATGGTGCTTTCTCTGCCAGTTCTTATTGTGTCACCATTGTCTCATCATGTACATTAATATTTTTCACCTTTTCTCCTTTGCAATATATTAAAATTACAAATTATGTGAGAGAAATACACGTTTTCAGTACATGATAATATTTATTGTGTCTTAGCATTGAAAAGTATGTCCTTGTGTTCATAGCAAATGCAGGGATTGCTGCTCATCTGCAAACATGAAAAAGCTGGTGAGTAAAATTGCATTCAAATTTTGCAGGAACGGCTTAAATATATTTTATTTTTCAGTACTGTAGTGATTTATAACACTACATGTATAAGACAAATGTGAAGTAATTGATTTAATTCAATTTTTCTTTACATTTAATGTCCATTATAATATCTGTAATACTATGAACTAGTCTTCGGAGACTGATAGGGGAATGAAGTTACAAAAGGCATCTAGCTAAGTGTTCATTTGTTGCAGGGATATGTTCATAACAAGAGATAAGACACTGGAACCTGGCAATGTCAAGGTTCCTCTGGGGAAAATAGGCTCAACATATATTTGGGTTCCAGCAGGACAGAAAACTGAATCTGTCAACCCAAACAACACAACTGACACAACTTCAGGAATGCCCTGAAGTTGTGCCAGGGGAGGTTTAGGTTAGATATTTAAAAAAGTTCTTCAACCAGCAGGTGGTTGGGCACTGGAACAGGCTCCCCGGGGAACTGGTCACAGCACCAAGCCTGACAGAGTTCAAGAAGCATTTGGACAATACTCGCAGGCACATGGCGTGATTCTTGGGGATGGTCCTGTGCAAGGGCAGGAGTTGGACTCGATGATCCTTGTGGGTCCCTTCCAACACGGCATATTCTGTGATTCTGTGATTGAGTAACTGGTGATTAAGTAGTTTAATGTCCTTCTTTCTGAGAAATCTGTGAATGCAAGCTCAGACAATTCCTCTGTGGTGCTACCAAATAATCCATACCAAGGATTTGCTACTGCCTTTGAAAGTATTGGGAAAATTTTTGGTAGAATTAACTGCTACACTCATCTTAATGAGATTAATTCTCAGAACAAGCATTGAACCTGAGTCAAAACCACAGAGCAGAACAACACAGATTGCTTTGGCCTATTTAGACTCATGTCTACTGTTGAAGTCTGGATTGTTTCTGTTATTGTAAGTAAAAGATCAGATCCAGTATAAACACCATGGTTCATTCTGCTTTCCTCTGACACTTTTTTGGATTTCCCCTCTAGACTTCTCTTGTCTTTTCTCCCTCTACTATGTCAGAGATATTGAGATAGGCAAGGTTCACTTATATTTAGATTTGCTATGAGCAATGGAATTATGATAAATTTGCATCCAAAATCAATGTATTAGTTTAGAAGAAGTGAAAGATTAATCATGGGAGGGAAGATGAGATGGAGATGAGTCTACTGACTTAAATTACTCCAGACTTTTGGCAAGGACTATTCATAAATGATAGAAAATACCAGATTCTCAAATATTTTTTGGAAGAATTATGTGGTAACTGCAGTGCATGTGCTGCAGAAGTAGTAAGATCCTCTACGAATTCCTGTGTTCCTTCAGCATAAAGCAGGGGAGCATCTCAAGGGCATTTTATGTTTTTATAGTGTTCAGAAACTTTCTGATAGATGTTTACAAATTGTTGGCAGAAGATGTAATTTCAAAAAAACCTTCAGCCTTTTAAACCTGCTTTAGCATGGAAAAATACACGGTACTTTGAAATATCAACTACTTCTCTCGTTAGGCAACATAATTTTTTTGGACTAATACGGGCACTTGTAGTTGAGAATCTGCTTTACTGGATAACGTCTTCCAGTGCTGCATAAGTAAGCAGCTTGATGACTGCAAAGGGCTCTTGAGCCACCTACAAATGCTGCTTCTTGCTACATGGAGGAAAAAGAATACAGTTGTGAGGGTGCTGATTAATTACTTGGTCCTACCTCATACTCCAACAAGAGTTTCTTCTGATATGTTGTTGAAGTCATTTAGAACCTGTTCACAGAAGGTTTTTACTGACTGCAGTGGTCCTCTTGGGTGGAATTTGATTCCTGAATCAAAACCTATTGGGAAATCTGCAGATGTCACTTGGAGAACTCCCCTGATGTCTGGAGTTCTGTTTCTGTGCCTAAACAGAAGCACCATCATTTTAACAGAAAAATCAAGTGGTTTGATACCTCTAATATCTGAGTTTAGCTGGGATCCACAAATTATCCTTAAACACCAAATGGATCTAGTATAGTAGATTTAATTTGAGCTAGTCTAGGCAACAATCTTGCTCAGCTCAATAAAAAAATAGAGCAGTATTGAAAGATTGTTCATGCTCCCCATACATGTGATGTAATTAAAATTAGGGTACTCACTGCAGATGTAGAAGACCTACTTTCAATTCCTTCCTCAGCTTCAGGGAGTATTTACCCATATCCTTCACCTTTCAGCAGACTGTACTCTGTTGTGATTCATCATCTTTCCTCCTGAAACTCAGCCACTAGGCAGAAAGACACGCAAGAGTAGTTTTCACAGAAACAAAATTCCAGCAAAACTGCAATACCAGACTTCTATGAATTAGATACTAAATGTACGGACTGTAATTACTGGGTACAGCTTTACTGTAGACTGGACTCAGGACTGGATGAATTTACAGCTGAAGGAAACTATTCCTTTTCTCTGTCTGTCATGCCTTGTCATGATTGCCAGGACACATGGAAAGCAAATCAAGGGCACAGTACTGAGGCTCCATATCTTTCACCTTCTACCCTCAGACAGGGTCACTATATCATGTAGTTAATTTCATTTTGGTAATTATAGGTCCATTTCAGGTATTTTTTCAATATTTTTTGCAGGTTAATTTAAATAATCTGGTTTTATTTTGTCAGCAAAGATTGATTATTCTAAATAGTTGCGCCCACGGTCTATATGCTGATCTCCATGGTGCACGAGTCACTAGAACAGGGTCTCCAACAGTGTCCCATAAATGAGGCCACAGAAGTGGGTCTTTTGGGCAGTATTCATTTCTAGGCTTAGAGGCCAAACACTTTCATCTAAGCTGACTGAGAACACCTTTGGGCACAAAACCGGAGTATGGCTTGGATCTGTGCCTCAGCAGCTGCAATGAGATATCTTTACTGCTCAAGCACTGCATTTTGGCAGAGTGTGTATGTATGCAGACAGTAAAGATCTACGAGATTCTTAAATTGAATCTAGAATTATTTCTTGTTTCAATCTTATCATTCTTTTCTTGATGGCATCTATTTTGAACTGTGGTTTCAAAGCTTTCCATCCAAGTTATTTAAGGACAAACTGGCTTTTAAGTGGTTAGACCAGCTTGCTGCTGTGATTCAAACAACTAAGGATTGGGAATTCCCAGAATGGGTATGCAATGAAGAGAATGCAAATGGGTCATGGCAATGAGAAAGTGACACACCTGTAGAGAGAGAGATGCCTCATTTACAAGTCCTAACCAAAGAAGTCTGAACTGCTAAATTTCTAAAATTTATTTCGTACAAAGGAACTGCCCATGTTACTCATCCTTAGTTTTCATACTCAGTACTTTACATACTGAGTCATGCTGCTACATACTTGCAGATTTTTTCAGCTTGACCGTCCAGATTCAAAGTTTGGATCTTCCTGTTCCCTTCCTGCACCAACAATTATGAGAAACAGCAGGTTTGTATCTTCTACATACCTTTCTGTCCACACTAATATTTAATGGGGAGATTGTTTAACTGAGCCTTGTAGATGCACAAGTTTTTCCTCTACCTTATTTTTCTAGTCCTTCAGGGTGATTGCCAATATGAAGCAAGGTCAAGTGACATGGGAAGAATACAGAGATGCTGCTTGATGCTGTAGGGAGAAAATTCATGCAGCCAAAGCTCAACTGGAGTTCCAACTGGCCAGAAATGTGGGGGACAATAGAAAGAGTTTTTTCAAATACATTAATGGCAATAGTCAGTACAGAAACATCATTGGCCCGTTACAGGATGCAGATGGTCACTTCACAAACAGGGACACAGACAAGGCAGAAGGTGTTTAACACTTTCTTTTCCTCTGTCTTCACCATGGATGATGGACCAAGGGGGTTCCAGTGCCCTGAGCTGGAGAACCATGACTGCAAGAATGATCAACTCACAGTCGACAAAATCGTGCAGGATCTGGTGCTCCAGCTGGATCCTTACAAATCTATGGGGTCTGATAAGATTAATTCCAGAATCCTCAAAGAGCTGGCTGATGTCATGGCAAAACATCTCTTGATGATTTTTGAGAGGTCTGGGGAATCTGGAGAGGTCACAGGTGGAGAATGTTGTCCTGATTTTCAAGAAGGGCAAGAAGGAGGACCCCAGAAACTACAGGCTTGTCAGTGTCACTTCAGTGCCTGGTAAAGTTATGGAGAAGATTATTCTGGGAGTTACTGAAAAACATCAGAAAGACAACACTGTCATTGGTCAAACCCAGCTCGGTTTCATGGGAGGAAAATCATGCTTGTCAAACCTGATTTCCTTTTATGACAAGGTAACCCAACTAGTTGATCAAGAAAAGCCAACCGATGTAATCTTTTGGATTTCAGTAAAGCTTTCGATACTGTCTCTCACAGGATCCTTCTGGACAAAATGTCCAGCACACAGCTGGATAAACACATCATGTGGTGGGTGAGCAGTTGGCTCATGGGTTGAGCATAAAGGGTAACAGTGAATGGGGTAACATCAGACTGGTGACATGTCACTAGTGGGGTTCTGCAGGGCTCCATCTTGGGCCCTGTGCTCTTCAACATCTTCATAAAAGACTTGGACACAGGACTGGAGGGGATACTAAGAAAGTTTGCTGATGATACAAAACTGGGAGGAGCTGTTAACTCTCTTGAAGGCAGAGAGGCCCTGCAGAGAGACCTCAACAAATTAGAGGACTGGGCAGTCACCAACCACATGATGTTCAATAAGGGAAAGTGCCGGATTCTGCACCTGGGATGGAGCAACCCTAGATGTTCGTATAGGCCTGGGATTGAGATGCTGGAAAGCAGCGCCAAGGAAAGGGACCTGGGGGTCCCGGTCGATGGCAAGTTGAATCTGAGTCAGCAGTGCCCTGGCAGCCAGGAGGGCCAATCATGTCCTGGGGGGCATCAGGCAAAGCATCGCCAGTTGGTCAAGGGAGGGGATTGTCCTTCTTTGCTCTGCACTGGGGCGGTCTCACCTCAAATATTGTGTGCAGTTTTGGGCACCACAATATACGAAAGATATTGAGCTGTTATAGAGTGTCCAAAGGAGGACAGCGGAGATGGTGAAGGGCCTTGGGGGGAAGCTGTATGAGGAGTGGCTGAGGTCACCTGGTCTGTTCAGCCTGGAGAAGAGGAAACTGAGGGGAGACCTCATTGCAGTTACAACTTCCTCATGAGAGGAAGAGGAGGGGCAGACACTGATCTCTTCTCTGTGGACACCAGTGACAGGCCCAGAGGGAATGGACTAAAGTTGTGTCAGGGGAGGTTTAGGTAGGATATTAGAAAAGAGTTCTTCACCCAGCAGGTGACTGGGCACTGGAACAGGCTCCCCAGGGAAGTGGTCACAGCACCAAGTCAGATAGAGTTCAAGAAGCATTTGGACAATACTCTCAGGCACATGGTGTCACTCTTGGGGATGGTCCTGGGCAGGGCCAGGAGTTGGATTAGGTGATCCTTGTGGATCTCTTCCAATTCTGCATATTCTGTGATTCTGTGATATGATCAAGACAAAATTAAGAAAAAGTACCTGTCTTCTTCCTTTTATTTCTTTACAGTAGAGGAAAAAACAACATTTTAGCAAGTTCCCTTTCTGCACACTATTTCAAGAGCTCTGTGGATCACAGTTGAAGAAATTCTGATGTTTGGTATTTCAGGAGAAACCATTTCCATGATTTAAATACTACAAATACAATTCTTCCCCCTCATTTTTCTGTCTGACCATTTTTATCACTTTAATCAGATTTTATTGAGGTTGTCTCCTCTTGAGTCCTTAAGCTGGGAACACTGATGATCATCTCAATGCAAAGTTTACTGTATGATTGTCACTGCTCTCATACTGCAGCTGTAATTTTTTAAATTATAGAAAATATCTGTGAAATATAAATACAGAAGTTAAATTGCAGTGACAGTGGAAATGAAGTCAATATAATAAACCTGCAACACTAGATAGAATGTGAAGAATATGCTAGTGGATAATAACTGATGAAATCAGGTAATTCTGTTCTTAAAACCATAAATATAAAGATTCTCTAAGTGGCAAAAAATTTCTCTATATAATGACTAATAACATTTAACTACATTTAAGAGGTTAGCTCAGCTGTTAGTAATGTAAATGGGAAGATCCTATTTAGTATGTCAGAAGATGGCTAAGACTTCAAGTCCTCTAGGTTTCCTAAGCTCTAAAAAATATAGTGTAAGCATGCAAGGCTACATAAAACCCTGTAGAAAAAAAAGTGCAACATGGGTCATAGTGCCTTGAGTTTATGAGTGTGGAATACATTGCTCCGCACCTTCTGAGGAAGAGCTTGTGTTGTTCTTTGTTGTTGGCAGCATAAGTGGGAGGGTAACATCCTCTTTCACTACTGAATTTGTAGCAATTAGATTTAAAAGAGAGAGGAAGACTTGGACCTCTGAGCAACTGATGTCTAAAGAACAGAAAGGATGCACTCAAGGGACTCTATACAGTGACATGTTGAAGGGTCCTGCTTCCTAATTGTCCTTGCTGGACAAATAGTCTGAGTTGTCTTTTTTATTTTCTGTCCTATAGTTTTTTGATTTCTGTCTTGCAAGGGAAGGGAAGTGGTGTGTATATGTGGTGGGGAAGAAGGGGAGGGAGAAAGAAGAGGGGAGACTGAGAGTCGCCTGCTCTGGTCCCCAGATGGGATCAGAACAAGTAAACTTTTGAATCTGGAAATGATAGAGCTCTCCAGGTTCTGTCAGTTCCAATGAAGGGCAGTGTTCAAGATATATGAAGTATTTTTTCTTTACAGGATTTTCAGCTGATTTAATCCATACAGAATCTTGAAATGAAATGCTTAAATATGGCTATACTGAAGTAAGTGTTTGAAAGAGCTAAATAAAACTAAAAAGCCAATATCATGAACTTTGATTCATGTAAATTGACTCTACCCATACAAAAAGTCTCACTGGCTTCAATAGCTAAAGACTAATTGGATGACTGAAGATTTGTAGTATCTAGGCTTTAACTAGTAATATGAATAAATAGAATCCTAACATCACAAATCAAATGCGCTAAGATATACTTTAATTCCTGTGTCACTGTGATGCATAGATCCTCCAAAGAGTTTTGAAACATTTTTTGCATAGCAACATGTAACTGCTTCTGTCTACAAGATATGCAAAAACAGTACTGCAGGAGAAAGGAAGTAAGCCCAGGGAACGGATTTTGATGCTATAGTGTACAACACTATGCTTTGGACATTAGTATAAACTATACAGGAGGTAGTATAAGGATGTTGATGTAAGTCTGTCCATATCAGAATTGATTTTACCGCTCCTGTTTAATACACTTGATTTTATCAAAGATTAGATTTACTTGAGAGTAAAAAAAAATCAGAACCCTAAATTTAACCCCAATATAGGAAGTGACCCAAATATTCTGAGTCATTTCTGCCATAAATCCCTCTGCCTTCCCCACCTTAGCTGTAGGAAAGGTGAGATTTGTATGAAAGCAAGGATTATTAACACCTCTGTACAGGTACCAGTGTTAATGATACACAGATTGAGTTATTTGCCAAAGGACTTAAAAACAGAACAAAGCCTTGGCTGGACAATGAACTTAGATGCTTTCCATTCTGGTTGGTTATACAGTGCTAACTAAAATGTTGTTTAGTTACATAGTCACATATAGTATTGCCCAGCATCCAAATCTTGCCATTCTTGCTACGGACATTGTATTGAGTTTGCATTATTGCAATATGTGTGTTTTGAGCTGTAGGTGTGTAATGACATAATTTTGCATCCTTTGAGCATTTCTGATCCTTTGAGCATTTCTGATATTCTTCAAATCTCTGGAGTGAAAGAGGTCGAACACCAGAATAGTGTATTCTTCCTCTTCTAAACAATAAAAAAGAGGCCATCTATCAAATTGGCAGGCTCATATCTTTTGTAACCACGTACAAAACACACTCCAACTGGATGAACAGCTGTCAGAGCAGTCTCTTGTCAGCAGGTGGGTTAAAGTTTGCTAATGCATAGGTACACGTGCAGGTATTTATATCCTTTTCTCATGAAGATCAATAACAAGATTTCCAAATATGTTTGCAGTCATGATTTACTCTGGGTGCATTAGCTTTCTTTTGTTCTTTGGCCCACCTGTCTCCTGTTCTTGTTTTGCAATATGTTTGTTCACCTTGTGAGAAACTTTTCACTGGATGAAATCTGGAAAGATAAATAGTATAAGTGAATTTTGCTCTTTTGATTCTTTCCATAAATCCAAAGTAAACAGTTTGACCATTTGTCATGGTTTAACCCCAGCTAACAACCAAGTCCCAGTCGTTACCTCCATTACCAGCAGCATCAGGGGCAGAATTGGACGGGTAAAAGTAGAAAACTCATAGGTTGATATAAAGACAGTTTAATAGGGAAAGCAAAAGTCACTCATACGAGCAAAGCTAAAGAAGGAGTTAATTCACCACTTTCTGTGGGCAGGCACGTGTTCAGCCATCTCCAGGCCATCACAAGTAATGGTTACCCACGTAACCTTGGGAAGTCAAACGCCACCACCCCAGGTGTCCCCCACTTCCTTCTTCGTCCCCCCAGTTTATATACTGAGCATGATGTCATATGATGTGGAATATCCCTTTGGTCAGTTGGGATTACCTGTCTCGTCTGTGTCTCCTCCTAGCTTCCCATGAACCCTCATTTTCCTCACCAGCATGGCAATATGAAAACCAGAAAAGGCCTTGACTCTGTGTGGTCACTGCTCAGCAAGAACAACATCTCTATATTATCGCCACTGTGTTCAGCACAAATCCAAAACACAGCCACATCCCAGCCACTGTGAAGAAAGTTAACTCTACCCCAGCCAAAACCAGCAAATAATTCTACTGCCACATTTCTCAGATCATGGATATTAACTGGTTTCTGGTCTCTTTTAGTGTCACGTAGGAAGTCATAAGCCATGCACATATTGAAAAATTATATTGGAGTCCTTACAGTCCTACTCTTGGATCATTATTTTCTTGTGTAACTAATATTAGATCACAAGGTGTATATGAAGACGATGAAGAAATTAAACTAATCCACATGATTCAGAAGCATTCCCGCAGAAAAGGCCATACTGAAGGGAAGTGCATGCTTATGGACTAAGTTGAACATTCTTTAGGGCAGACATGAAGAACTGCTTTACAAACATATTCCCAAATCTATATGATTCAAAAACAGTACAGGCTGTCTTACCACCTTCCTAAGTATATGGGTATTTTTAGGATAGCCCTAGTCTTTAAGATAGACACAAGCAAGTGCTTTAACAATTTTTCTCCATTGACTGGACAGGGAACCTGATTTGGTAACCCCAAATCCTCAGCAATCTGAACTCCCCACATAGTAGAAGAATTCTCAGTAATGCCTGTGGTCAAGTAAGGTGTCTATGGTAGCTGATTTGAATATGTCTTACAGTCATTACATGAAATGCTCAAAGAATGTCACACAGTGCAGATAACTTATCTAAGGCATACTTATTATCCACTTGTATTTCTCAGTGTCTTCTATAACAAGATACTGCCAGAATGCTAAGAATCATGCCACTGAAAAATAAATTAAATGCATTCATTCCTGCAGTTTGGCATAAATATTTTTTTCAGTTAGACAATATGTTCTGAGTAGCATAAATCCCCTTTATAGTTCGGTTTTGTTTGGTACTTAATCAGTTACTCTCCTCAGCAGTGAATGCCCACCACTTAACTTTTTAACTCTCATCTCAGATAAGTGTCATCAATTTGCAAGGTGATTTAGAATACAAATCTTGAATAGAGTTCAATAGTGTTAGGGTAGTCTTTTATGAATCAAGACCCTATAAAACTTCATCAATATCTGTATTGAACATATATTGACTAAAATTTTATGGAAGCCTTATTCACAAGGGACTAGTGCTCCCAATATGAACCTAGATCATTGGGAAAGGCAGAGGCACTGGTTCCTAATGTTCTGATGGTTATCCTTACATATATAGTGCTTATATCTAGAATAAATAAATACACCCACACATACATGCACATGTGAAAAATGATTCTCAGATCATGTAAGAAGAGGGCAAAATATCGTATTTTCTGACTCATTATATTAAAACCATATTAAAGGTTATAAGGGGGAAAAAGCAACTTATAATACTCTTTAAAAGTTGGAATTGAAAGAGTAAGCAATAATACAAGAAACACCTCACTGTAAGTGTTTACTTTTCCTTGATTCAGAAGCTGGGATGTTAAAAATCCTACTCTAGTTGAAGTTGAGGGTGTTTTGCCTTTGATTTCATTGGCAGCAAAAATTTACCTTGTGGGAAACCAAAAGGGATCTGATTAAGATCTAGCTGACCAACATTCCGTGCCAAGTTTATCATCTAAAGGCAGTAACATGGCCAGTAGTGAAAAACACGGCATATCCAGATAACCAAATAATCCCAAACTTCAAATTGAGGATATAATGCAGGACTATTTAAATTTTAAACAAAATGTTTTTGGATTTAGTTTTTAGAAAAAGAATTATGCACCTTCCTAACTTCCCTGTTGTTGGATAGGAGAGAAAGCTTTCTAAGGGGCTTTATGCCAATTTAGACAGCTCAGTGTTGAGAGAATCTATGAGAAGCAGGTTAATCCAGATTTTTAGTTGTTTTATTATATAATATCAACATAAAACAGCTAGATCGGGATTGAAGAGCTATTTAAAAACTACAGAAAATTGTTTATTAAGGATTTTTCTTCATTATTCCAGCTTTATGGTGACTTAAAGTCCCCTTGAAAATAGCAAGGCAATTCAGGTTTAAGGTGTTACTTGATATAAATACAGCCAGCCAGCCAGAATCAAATCCAAACCTCTAATACCTACTTACTAAAATGGTGTCAATTTAAAAGGAAAAAAAAGGCTGCCCTTAGTGCTTTCATTTAAAAAAAAATTAACTGTTAAATCCAGATGTTTTATTGCTACTCCAAATTTAGCTTTATCTATGAGCTGCTGTACCTCTTGTGTAAAAAGGTAATTAAATATTTGTCCTTATAAAACAACTGTATTTTCTAGAACAACACTACATGGGATGCACTTCAATAAAATTACAAATTTTGATTTATTTATATTTTGTGAATTTTAGAAATTTCATTGGTTTATTTCTTTAAAAATTATCAAAAACATTTCAGAAAGAAAACATATAAACTTTGTGTTTTCATATATGAACCACTGCATGCTTTAAGAAAATTATTTTTCAGCAAAATATTTTCCTCAATGTTATTTAAAATTTAAATTGTATTTTAAATGTATTAAATACTAACATCTTAAAAAACCCTCCACCATTTAAAGCTTTCGATTTTGTAAAAGCAAACAGTTTTGTTCAACTTGAAATTTCCTTTCACCTTGTCAGCATAACAGAAATTTTTTTCCAAAGGCAGCAATGATATTTTCCTTGATGTTATGGAACTGCTACTGCATTAAAACCAAAACAAACAACACCCCTCCCCCCCCAACTTATCTGTACTTAAAAAGAAAAACTGAATCTAAACTTCATTTTTGGCCCCAGGAATCTATCAGCCCTCTGCATGTTGTATGCTGTTTTATATGTGTCAAATAAAAGGAGTTCACAAGTCATCTCCATAGCTTATCGTATGGGCAATCTAATTTGATGTACATAGAGTAGCAGAGTATCCTGTAGCAAGAAGAAAACTTTTGACCTTTCCTGCTTTTGGAGAACACATAGAGTTGAGGATTCATCCAAATTGTTCTGGGTACACATGACATGATGTATGGTGCTAGAAATATTTCTTACTACAGCAATCAGGATGCTTTCATCAGTCAGTGGACACAGACTGACTGACCTTAACTAACCCAGTTGTTTAAGGGCAATATGTGACCCAAAAATGAACTTCTCTGTTATGAGAGGAACTAGTCTGCATGTGAAAAGGTTTGCTTTAGCTGTGTTCAGTTTCCATTCAGAGGTTCAGGTCAGCTTTTATTTTATCTGCACCCATTCAATCATTAATATGAATTATACTCTCGTTCTAAAATTAGAAAAAAACTTCATCTATTTGGATTGTAATAATTTGGTTGTGCTTGGTACTTAAATTGCCTACTACTACCATACTTAGATGGTCAACAATTGTTACAGAGAACAGGAACATTCAAATTGAATCTATTTGGTGAAAAATAAGAATTGCTCAGCAAAGGCTACTTCACCCACTCACCCCATGATTAAAAACTTGCTGGTTAAAGATTTAAATGGGTTTAAGATTGGCATGGTGTCACCATTGTGCAAATCCTTTGTTAAATATTAAATAATAAAAAAATGTCTTAGGGTCACAGTGTGTGATTTATATGACAAAGCCCTTATGGGCTGTGTTTGTCAAAGGCAGCTCATAATTCTAGATTGTTTCACTGAATAGCAACGAATATTTTTGTTATGGTGGTAGGTGGGAAGAAATTTGTTTTCTCACTGTATTCAGTGTGGTAAAGATTTCTCTCTGTCTTTAGACACCTTTCACATGAAGAAGCCATGCCCTGGGGCTAAGCAAAAGAGATGGGGAGGGATAGGTGCCCCTCCCCTGCATTAAGCCATTGCTGATAACGGCTTTTTGATATATGCATGGTCGGGGACTCAATTAGATTGTCAAATAAAAGTAATAAAAATATGTCATTTTTCTAAACATTTTTTTATGTGTATAACAGTCAGAAGCTGTTTAAAATCTGAATACTGTAGGCCATGTGGACTTTTTGAAAGACTTGCGTTTGTGTATAACTTCACATCATCTCAGAATTATTCTTCTGGGACTTTCTAAACAATTGTGTCTATATAAATCCCTATTGCTTTGTTAAAAAATATATATGTATATAAAAAGTAGGTAGTAATTTCCTTCCTCCACCCCCTCAAAAATATATATATAAGTTACAGCCAGAAATTATTGTTTGCATTCTGTACTCTAGGAAATACAAAGGCAAATTCAAAAAAGACTTTGTCTCCTTTCTTACTCTAAAACACAATTTATTGCTTTAAATCATAAAAATAAAGCAGTCAAATGTTGCATAAGAGACCCTCAGCAGAAATAAAAGAAAAGAAAAGGCAAAACTGAACTTCCCATAAACCCAAATCCCATACAGCACAGCTTTCTACAAGACCATAATTAAATAATCCCTGAAGGACTTGTGGAGGAGGGGATAAGAATACATAAACTTTCCAACACGATGAAAGAAAAGACTCTGTTATTATTATTTGATTTTATTTTTAAGAAGAAAAGAACTAAAACTAACATACTTAAGATGGTATATATGGGAAAACTATTGCATGCTGAACAAGCATCCATCCAAGTCTCAGCCTTGACACACAATAAAACAGAAATTAAAAGATATCTTTGTAATTTGAAGTCTGCAAGTGGATTGGGGCGTTGTTTTAAAAAATGCACATCTTCAACATCAGTGAAAGGCCTTCAGCTCTGCAAAAGTACTGTTACTGCTGTTCTTGAGCATTTCTTCAACATTTTTTTCCTCTACTCTGAGATGACGCGGTAGAAACTTCCAGCAGAAGGTCTATTTTACAGGAGGTTCTTCACTGAGTGGGAGCCTTCTTTGTTAAAACAAGAGAGGAGTCATATGCCTGTGCAAGTCTACCTATGTAGACAGGTGATTAGGTAGAAAGAGTGACTAGGAGAGGTAAGGATTTTTTGCAATAATTTTACTTTCACAAATTAAAAAACAAACTATCAGTGTAACATGTTATTC